CCTGAGCCCAGGAAGTCAAGGCTGCAGTTAGCCATGATCACATCACTGCACTCCAGTCTGTGTGACGGGAGTGAGATCTTGTCTAAAGAAAAAATAATAATAATAAAGTAGGACCTTAACAATGCTGGCAGACCTACGTGTGAATCTCAACACTGCCCTTTACTAGCTGTGTGACCTTGGGCAAGTTCCATTTTTTCACCTGGGAAATCAGACAATAACAAAGGCTACCTCACTGCTGCAGAAAGGATGAAATGCCTAATATATACAAAGAACACAGCCCAAGACCGAGCACACAGCGAATGCACAGCAAATGAGAGCTGCCATCCTTAGCATCATTAACTGCCCTTGGTTAACCAGATGCAGGTTAACCAAAGACTGCACAATGACTCCTGGGTTTCTAGCCTGCTGTTACCAAAAGCGGAGGCATGAGTGGGTAGAATGGGACGGAGGCCCGGAAGAGGAGGAGCTCATTTGTTGAGCATGAAGTGCCCACTGTTGGAAGAGATGATCCTCCCTGGGTCCCTTGCACTCTCACACAACTTGCTGTGCACGCCAAGATTGCAAGACCCTGACCATTTTTAATCTGGGCCACTTCTCAATGCTGTGTTTAGAGCGAGCTGCCTTGAAGGATGAGGTACCATCTCCCTGGAGGAGGAAGGGTAGGCATGCTTACTCCTCCCTGCATAAGCAGCCCACTCTCCAGGCTCGGTGTTCCTCAGCTATGACGCTAACCAGCTGCCTGTGGAGCATCCATCTTGATTGCCCATGTTGCTCCTATGGGACTTGGAGGCAAATATGCTGATGCACATGCTTCTTGCTGTGTCCTGGGTAACAAAGTTCTATGTTTCTGATCCTGGAGTCTCATGTCTTCTGTCAGCATCCACGAATCAATGACAGGTTAATTTCTTAGCTAATAAGTTGGAAAGAGTCATCAGTATGTACACGGCAAGTAAAGCCATGATTACAAATGACATTGACCGGCAGAGCATGTTGGCATGTGCCTATAGTGCCAGAAACACAGGTGGCTGAAACAGGAGTGTCCCTTGAGCCCAGGAGTTCAAGGCTGCAGTGAGCTATGATTGCACCACTGCGCTCTAGCCTGGGTGACAGAGTGAGAACCTGTCTCAAATAAATAAATAATCGCATTGCCTAGGAAGGGATATGGGTAGTACCTTGGGTAATAGCAACAAGCAAAGGATAAGGGTAAGAAAAGGAGCTCCCAGGAGAACTCAAGAAGGAAGCCTAGAGAAGAGTAGTTCCTTATAAGCCACGGGAGTAGACTTTCAATCAAAAGAGTAGGCAGCAGGATCAGATGCTGCTTAAAAGTCAGGTAAGAGGAAGACTGAATGTGGCCACTGAGTTTTGCAACTAGGTCACTGGCAAGAGGCATTTTAGTGACGTGGTGTGGCCAGAAGCCAAACTGAAGTGGGTGAGGAGTGAATGGAGGTAAAGGAAGAGTGACGATAGGCTGGGCGTGGTGACTCACACCTGTAATTCCAGCACTTTGTGGCAGCCAAGGCCAGGAGTTCAAGACCAGCCTGGGCAACATGGTAAAACCGTCTCTACAAAAAAGATTTCAAAACTCAGCTAGGCGTGGTGCCGGTGCACCTGTGGTTCTAGCTACCTGGGAGGCTGAGATGGGAGACTAGCTTGAGCCCAGGAGATCAAGGTTGCAGTGAACCCTGATGGTACCACTGCACTCCAGCCTGGGTGACAGAGTGAGACCCTGTGTCAAAACAAAGAAAGAAGGGAGGGAGGAAGACAGAGTGAAAGAAAAGGGAGAAAGGGAGGGAGGGAGGGAGGGAGGGGAAGAGAGGGAGGGAAGGAGGGCTGATAGTAACTAAAAACTTTAGCTGAAAAGGAAGGATAAAGGTGGGGCACTGACGACTGAAGCAGGTGGGGGCAAATGACATTTTTCAAATAGATGGAAGAGATTTGAGTAGAGCATATCTTGAGGAGGACAAGCCAGAAAAGAGAAGTCAGGGTAAAAAAAATTAAGAGCAAGGGGAGGAGGATAGAATCAGGTCTCTGAAAAAGACCTTCAGTCTCTGGAAAAAAAACCATTCAGATCCCAGGTGAGGAACTGCCTGGGCTCTCTCCCACTGAGATGGCATTTTCCCCAATCACACACCCTCAAGCAGGCCAACAGGCCGTGTAGGTTGTGTGGTCTGTCTCCAGGTGGGTAGAGCCCACTGTCTGTAGGGAGGGGCCTGGTCGGTAGGTTTCATTGGTGACCACTTTGTCTGGTGGTCCTGCAGACCAGAGATGAGAGACACATAAGTATTTTTCAAGCTGGGTTCTCTGGAGATGCCAACAGGTGTGTTCTGTATACAAAGGGTTCAGGTAAGTTTGGAAAGTGCTGTCCAAGCTCTGCAAAGCCAGCTCGTAGGAAGGCTGAGTGTTCTCTGCTGGCAGAGATGGACATTTGAGAGTGAGGTGGCCAAAGGGAAGAGAAAGCCTGCAGAGATGCCAGGACTTGTACTCAAGGTACTCAGGGGTAACGGAGATGACACCTATGGAAAACCCTGCAATCACAGAGCAGGAAGAGGAACTCTCATTGGCAGAACACCTCTACTCTGCTTGGAGTTTATATATTGACAAAGGTTCTTTGCTTGGCCAAACTCTAGTCGGGCTCCCAAACCTTCCTCTAGACCCTTTGTGCACTTCCATCTAAAACCCAGTTTTAACAAAGAACCCTGCTAAGTCAGTTTAGCAAGAACCCTCCAACCTCAATATCTGATTAGGTTTATCATCCTCCACTCTCCCCCAAGTGATGTCTGGTCACTTGGCCTGTCTAAAGCAAGAATTCTGTTAGGTTGGTGTTGTGAGTAGCACAAGGTCACCAGGTTCATGCACATGTGTGTCTCCACAGTCTCAGGATTTGACTGATCCTATTTCAGTCATAAAAGCCACAGCTACATGGAATTCTCAAGGAGGCAATTCTCCTTAGCATTCCCCATTCACTTGGTAATAAGAGCTGGGGGCACACAGGATCAAGTCACTCCACAGGTCAGTCAATACTGCCAACCATACATGGTAATATACTTCATCAATGTATAAATGCTATAGATTTCACATTCCATACCAAAGTAACATTGAACATCAAGAGAAAAGGGGAGAGGGAAGACAGGATTAACAATCCAGTCCGAGGAGAGTGACTTGGACAAGGAGAGTGTCCTGGCCGGATCCAAACAGTTCTCAATGTCTTGCAAGGAAGAGTCTTTGATGTGGGCAGAGTGTGGGCAAGATGGGGTCTATCCAGACGGCCATCTCCAGTTGCTGAACTCCTGCCGTTTTGATGGCCACAGAGTCCTCTGGTGAGGTCTGATAGTACAGAGTGTGCCTGTTTTATGTCCTTATCTGGGGGGTGTATAATCTTTATTAATTAGGCAAACATCTGGTTCCTGTTGGCATGAGGCTTTTTCAGACGTAAAATGGACTCTTTTTCCTAAGATGGAGTCACTTATGTCAAGGGTGCTCTATGCAACCTGTTTAGCCAGAATCCCCCTCAGCCCTGATGTTTCCCTTAGTAAGTTTCTATCCACTCACCCCCACCTTGCTCCTTGGCAATAAATTCCCACTTGCCCATGCTGTAATTGGAGTTGAGCTCAGTCTCTCTCTCCCTGCGACTGCAAAACCTCATTGCAGAGGTCCCTACACATATGGTGATGGTCCTGGATATAGTCTTCCTTGCGATGCTTTAACTTGTATCATTAAATAATATTTTCCTTTAGCAGTGTCCTGCGATTTTACTCTTCCAATTCTTGGCAGTGTTATTATCACAGCCTGACAGAGGAAGAACCAGGACTCAGGAAGCCGAAGACTCCCCTGATACTCAGTGCTCACCAAGTGGTGGGGCTCAGCTCTCTGTCATTTGGGATCCAGCCTCCTGTCCCTACAGCCCACGTGCCGTTACACCCTCAAGCAGCGCCCAGGGCTGGGTTCAGAGGCGAGCTTGCACAATTGCTGCTGCCCTGCGCTGGGACCAGGGCGGCCTCTGATCTGCAACAAAGAAGCTCCCCCACGTGCCTTCGCCTTCGCTCTGGCAGCCCCTGGTTGGCTTTGATAACACCATCAGATCCCAGGGCTCTGGTCCCTTACAGGCTGGGCCTGGCAGAGGCGACGGGAGGAAGGCGGGCCAGCAGGGTGTGTCACTGGGCCTACTGGCAGACGGGACTTTGCTTTATTGTACCAGGACTACCCCAGGGACCCCTCACCAGGGTTGTGAGAATGAGAACAAGAGCACACAGGAGTTCTTCACACCTCTCCCGTCCAGATCCTTTGACAGCCTGATGGAAGCAACAAGCCCTCTCTATAAAAGGGCACGCACACAACACAGAAGCTCGCACAGTTTCCAGGTTCATCAACCAACCATCACCCTACAGAGCCCTGCAAGCAGGCCGCGTCTCAAAGGAGTGTGCATGGGAATCACCCAAGACGCTGGCTAAAAAGAGCGGATCCCAGGCCCCACCGAGGAGATTCTCATTCAGTAGGTCTGGGGGAGGCCTGGGAGCCTGCATTTTTAACCAGCGCCTCCAACAATTTGGGCGCTGACGCCCAGCGGAACCCACCTTGAGAAACCGGACTCCGGGCCTGAGAGAGCCCCCCACACTCCCATGCTCCAAACTTTCCCCATCTCGCCCGGCGCACCGGACGCCTCCCTTCGCCTCCCGCGGGCTACTAGGGCGCGCGGTGGTGGAGACGTCAGGGGATCCCGGTGGGGACCGACAGCGACGGCCCATTGGGCCTGCCCGCTCCCCTCGCCCCCGCGCCACGGCCCCGGGAAGCGCGGTGCTGCCGCCAATAGGCGGCGCAGCTGCAGGGAGGACGCAGGCAGGGGGCGCCCGGCGGCCCCCAGCCCGGAGCCGAGGGGCGGGAAGGAGCGGGAGCATTGAAGGAGGGAGGCGCACCGCGGCGCGGAGCTCGGGCGCTGGGGCGGGGGCCGGGGGCGGGCCGGGCCGGGCCGGGGCGGGGCCGGCGGGCGGGCGGGCAGGCGGCGAGCGCCTGGGGAGCGCGCCCGGAGAGCCAAGAGGGAGGAGCGCGGGGATCTCCGACAGCCTGCCCGCCCCCGCGCCGCCCGCGCGCAACAGTTCCCCCAAAGTTGCAGCCCGGGAGGCGGGCGCGCACGGGCGGCCAAGGGGCGGGCGGCCAACGGGGACGCGGCCTCGAGGCCCAGCGCGGAGAGTCCCGCGGGCAGCGGCGGCGGCGGCGGCATGGGCACCCGGCAGACCAAAGGCAGCCTGGCGGAGAGAGCCAGCCCCGGCGCCGCGCCGGGCCCCCGTCGCGAACGGCCCGACTTCTGGGCGTCGCTGCTGCTGCGCGCCGGGGACAAGGCGGGGCGCGCGGGCGCGGGGATGCCCCCCTACCACCGGCGCGTCGGCATGGTCCAGGAGCTGCTGCGGATGGTGCGCCAGGGCCGGCGGGAGGAGGCGGGGACGCTGCTGCAGCACCTGCGCCAGGTGAGCTCGGGGAGGGGGCTCAGGGGTGGGGGCGCCGGGCCGGGGAGCGCCCCGCCCCTAACCGAGGAAGCCCGGGGCACTGAGGGACACCGCCCAGGACCCCCTTCTCAGGGATGGAGCCCTGTCTGGCAGCAAGTGCCTCGGCACTCTCGCTGAATTTGGGGCCTCAGGGCAGGGCGGTGGATGGCTGGCCGGGTGAGGCCCGCCGAGCGGGACCTGTTGGCATAATGTCCCCGCTGCTCTCCTCCGCAGGCAGAGAAGGAGACTGGTCTCCGGGGACAGTCGGTGGGAGGGGAGGCAGGGATGCTGCCTGGTCTGGGCCAGGGCTCTTTTCTTCCTGTCTGCCCACTGGCAGTCACTCCATGCCGAGGGTCCTCAAGGAATGCAGTTATCATTGGACCCGGCTTGGCTTCCCGAGTGGGAGTCCAAGGGCATAGCCCCCGGGTCAATGTGATTCCAGTCCCTGGGTCCTTCACTCGCCTGGGAGGCATCCTGGATTGTAGTTCAAGGAGGAGACTGTTTCCTCTCCCCTGACTAACTTTGGCAGATCCTCAACCATGAGCCCCTGTGGAAAGCGGTAGAGAAAGGGGAGCTGGATTTAGTGTCCTATGTGACCACCTGGCCAGCAGGAACTTCGGGAGGCTGCCAGGACTCTGCCCTTAGCCTGTGCCTATCCCATTGGCTAGGGACGCGTGTTGCAGAATTTGGCCAGTTCCCTCAGCTTTGGGGCTGCCCTGGGGCTAATGATGTCACTCACCTCTCTGTGGCTGGTTCTCTTTTCCCAGTTTCTTTGGTGGGGAGAGGAGCATGGCCCATGCCATGAATTTTGTTGAGTATAAGACAGGCAGAGAAATGCAAAGCTGCTCTCCTGCATCACCAAACAGGTTGTCTGGGCCTGGCTTTGCGGGGTAGGCAATCCAGGCCCCATATTCTTGCTAGACTGACCCCATTAGAGGTAGAGTCTACCGTGGATGTCAGAGGGAAAATCTCAGGTGACCTTTCTGAGGTTTTCCAGTCGCTGGTGAAAGAGGCTGCAGGAGCACCTTCCTGGGAGGACCTTCCAAAATCTAATCATGCCCACATCCCTCCTGGGTTCTGCCGCACTCTCCCCCACCTTTGTATCTGGTGTGCTCTTACCCTAGAGCCTGTGTGCCCAAGCTGCTCACTGCACAGGGAGAGGCAAGCAGAGATGTGGAGACTTGGGAAGATGGGCTTCTGCTCCTGCCTCTGCTTTTCCCAACAATCTCCAGAATGATGCCCCAGACGCTGATGGATCCCCATGTGCCTTCTCAGTTGAATCATCAAAGAAAGATGACATTATGCACCACTTAACTTTAGCAGTGTGTATTTCTTTGTCTTTTGAAAATTGGAAAGTGACGTATGTCTTTATAGTAACTCTTTCACTTTTAAACAGAATAATGGGTTTTCCAGACCATGGTATCCCATTTGCACACCTTACAGTAAGAAGGGTTTCCTGATCACATGCTGTTTCCCAGCCCTGGAATGGGTACTTTGGGGAATACAGCAGAGCTGGCAAGCACTTCTTGGAAGACCAGACTGAAGCTCGCATGATAGAAGGCCGCTTGGAGGCCCACGGGAGGAGACTGGACCCAAAGTGGGCAGATACTTTGGCAGTCCCTGAAAGGCTGTCCACATCCTGGGGATACTGAGCTTCTTCCTGCCTTGCAGGGGAGTAGATAAGCCCCTGTAGCCCCATGGGTGGTCCTTGAAACAAGAAGCATTTCCTCAGACATCTGCACATGGGTATTGGTGTCCTGGTACCCTCCTCAGCTGGAGGACCAGGAGTGGGTGGGAGGGGTGGGAGGGGGCTTATCAAACTTCCCCCTTTTCTGTGAAAACAGCAGGTCCTCAGGCTGTGGGCTCGTGTTGGGCTTCCTTGACCACTGGCTGGAGATGCGAGGGCGATGGGCCTGGAGCTGCCCTGTGTGGCCTGGAATGGATGGAGCAGCGCCCCTCCAGGAAGTAGTCATGGGCCTTGAGCAGTGTGGGAGTGGAGCACAGGGGTGTTCACATGCCTATGACAGAGAGGTGGCTTTCTAGGACCCTGAGGCCATTTGGAGGAATGTCCAGCTGGATTTGTGCTGTGCACTGAAGTGGCTCTTTCTCCCAAATTGCATTTTCCTTTCCATTCCAGTTTCCTCCTCTAGTCTGAAGGTGGTGATGTTCAGAAAGGGAATGAGCAGCCAGTGAGAACTATGAGATCACACAGGCCTCACTGGGGTCAGACTGGCGAGAACCTCTTCCTCAGCAAGACAGCCAAGACAGTAAAGACTGGGGTCTGCAGAGCGTGGGGTGCTGAGTCATGCAAGTCCCTGGGGTGGGCGTTAACGAGCAGGCACAGAACCAGGGAAGGGCAGCAGCAAGGACAGTAGCCCTCACTCCCATTCACACAGCATGTTCTGTGTTTGATAATGTGGGTTTGGCTGCCAGATTTGCGTGTGCCCAGAGCCACATGGCTGGAGGGGACTTGGGAGCCTTCATTCCTGTGCTCTTAGCCTCTTTGAGTCCTTGATCTTTTTGAGGCTCTGAAGGAGCTGCACACAGTCTTCCAGACAAATGCACTGACTCATTTGTCTTTACTACCTGGACTCACACAATCTCACAGGCAATTTCGGAGGGTTCACAAAGCCCCTAAAACCCAGTTACAGACTCGAATTTCAGAATCTCTGCTCCAGTCTGATACCACCCTTCCTCTTGCTGTGGCTTGCTCCAGGCTGGGAATCTGGAAACAGGGACTTGACCCAGGAGCATGTGTGGCAGTTCACGGTGAGCTGAAGGATTGTGGCTGCTGGTGCCACTTCTTCTGAATGCCCTTCTTCAGCATCTAAGGTTTGGAAGGCATCATCTTTCCAGCTTGTCACTTGCTTGAGAGGTATCAAGAGGCCTCATTCAGCACAAACGACCCTGAGCTGTGGCCAGGGGTACAGGCAGGATGCCAGGCAGCTGCCTTGAAGGAACAGAAAGTAATTCCCTTCCCTTTAAGATCAGGGTAATCTGAGAAGAGCCCAGAGCCAAGGATCAAGGAGGCAGCTCACCTTCCGGTCCTCAGTCAGCTGTGGCCTTGGGCCCAGCAGATAACCTCTCTGAGTTGCTTCTTTGTTTCCCAAAGAGGGATCTGGGGTGCTGAGCAGAGCAAATGCTACAAAGTGTGTGAAATGGTGTTGGTGCTGCCATTCAAGACACGTTCTCACAGTGACTGTGATAAGAAACGTGAGAATCTGCCTTACTTTGGGTCTGGCCAGACTGGGGTCAGGGTTGTGGTATTCTTTCTCAGGTCTGGCCCAAGAATTTTTTGGATTCTATCTACCTGGGCAGGGTTCAGTCTGGATCAAAAACTCACTGCACATTTAGAAGCATCCAGAGCAAGTGCTCATGGAGATCAAAGAAGCCAGCTTTTCCCCAGATGTCCTTCCCCAACTCTTGGGCTCAGGCCTGCTGTCTTTAAGGAGCTCTGGAGAAGAAGTAAGATTCCATCATTGACAGAGGGCACATGCTAGCCACCTGGAAGGTGAGCTGTCATCTCTTTGGCCCAACAGTTTCCCTGAGCCCTCAAAATTTTAGACTGAGCTGTCGGCCTCTGTCATGGAGCAGCAGAAAAAGGGGTCTGTTTCCCAGAGGTCCACCCAGCTGAGGTGGCCCCTGTCTTCATGTTCACCAGCACCCCAGTTTTCCCATGAGGAGGGGCTGATGGGGTTGGTTTACCTGGTCAAGGGGCGAGCAAAGTATGGCACTCACCCCTTAACCAGGGCTGTTCCTGTGTTCGCTTGTCTGGGCCCCCAGTGGTGTGGCTAGGGCCTGGATTCCTGGTTCCCTCAGCTGTCTGGGGTGGAGGGGCTGGCTTCACTCTGCACCTGGGAACAAGAGCCACATCAGCTAATGCCAACAAGAACCACTGAGGGCAGGCATCGTGTAATCTCAGCACTTTAGGGGACTGAAGCTGGCGGATTACTTGGGCTCACAAGTTCAAGACCAGCCTGAGCAACATGGCAAAACCCTGAAAATCAGCCAGGTGCGGTGGTGTGCACCTGTAGTGCTGGCTACTGGGGAGGTTGAGGCAGGAGGATGGCTTGAGCTTCGGAAGCAGAGGTTGCAGTGAGCCAAGATCGAGCCACTGCACTCCAGCCTGGGCCACAGAGCTGGGACCTAAGAGTTTCACTCCTCCCCAAGAGGAGCTGAATAATGGACAAGCACCCGGAGATTTCTTGCGGATGTGGAGACTGAGCAGATCCTTACTACCTGGAGGCAGAAAGATTAGCATAATGACCTCTGAAGGTCACCTGTTTCCTCCCACTCCCCGCTCTGTAGGCGAGCAGGTTGGAAGGCTACCAGGCACCAAGCAGGGGGGCCCTATGCTGGACCTGCTCTTCCTCCGCCTGGAATGCTTTCCTTGTTTCCACTGAACGCACCTTACCTTTCCAGGGCCACCTTCCTGAGCATGTCAGCTGAAGCTCAGAGATTCATATGCCTCAGGTCCCACCACACTGGGAGGCATTCAATCCATGCAGAATTTTTTCCTGATGTTCCTTTTGTTAGATAAGGTCAAGTGCGTCCTGAGAGCAGAGACCCACCATGACCACTGTTGTCCACCGTATGGTATTGAAAACCCACAGGCTCATGGCATACCTCAGTGAGTCTGTGTGCCGTGACGATGTGTGTACGCGTGTGTGTCTGCTGCTGTCATCAGTGTGTCCTCAGAAAGCACTTGGATTCCCCAGCTACGGCTGTGCAACTGTGGGCTGATTTACCAGGCTCGTTAGTACTGTCGTGAGACGTAGCACGTTTGCTTTCCGTGTGGTTGGATTTCTGGGAGTAATGTCCACAGGGCTTGGCTGTTCCTGGCAGCCTGCCAGGCAGTGGTGTTCTTGGAGAGAGGAGTGGCGTGGTGCCCAGGCTCCGTGGCAGGACTGGATCCCATCCGGCAGGTGCAGTCTGGGGCCTCTGCCGAGGTGTCGGGAGGGGAGCGGAGCCTGATGGGAGAG